TGCAGCCAGCTTGGCCATGGCTGCCTCCTGCCCGCGGGGACGGCAGAGTGAGAAACTGCATAGGAGGGGAGCCCTGGCCCACTGGGCCTGCCAGAGCCCCTACCTGGGGCAGTAACCCCCAGACTCCCACCTCTGACCAGAAGCCCAAGCACGGTGGGCTCACCCAGACTCTCCCTCAACCCCCAGCCACCAAGACCGAGCCACGCGCGGGAGACCCTCCCGGCACCTTGGTGAAGGGCTTCTTTCTATCCTTCAGCATGGCGGCCCGCCAGGTCAGCAGCCGCGAGCTCTCCAGGGCCAGGGCCATGTCTGCCAGCTTGAACTGCAACAGCCCACCCGGCCAGCAGTCAGCCACTGGCAGAGGGAGGCGGCCAGGGGACTGGGTCAAAGGCCCAGCCCTGCAGCCCCCACCCGGTTACCTGGATACCCTGGAGCTTGGTAAGGGGCGCCCCAAAGGCCCTGCGGTTCTCGGCGTAGTTCACAGCACAGTCTAGGGCAGCCTGCGCGATGCCCACGGCCTGGGCGGCGATGCCAATGCGGCCCATGTCCAGGGTTTGCTGCGGGGACCGTCCTGGTCAGTGGCTGGCCTGGGCCTGGCCCCAGCTGCCCCCACCGCCTGGCTCACCATGGCTATCTTGAAGCCCTGCCCTGGCTCCCCCAGCAGGTTGTCCTTGGGAATGCGGCAGTCCTCAAAGATGAGGTTGGCGGTGGACGAGGCCCGGATGCCCAGCTTGTCTTCCTTCTTCCCCAGCGTGAGCCCAGGCGTTGGCATGGGAACCAGGAAGGCACTGATGCCCTGAGGGACCCAGACAGTGATCTTCCCAGAGGCTGTCCCTCCAGCCAAGGCGGCCGCAACAGCCACACACGCTCCAGCACCCTCCTCCCCACTCTTGGTCTCAGGCCGGGACGCCCCCTGCTGGTTTCGGCAGAAAGTGCAGACTCCAGCGACAGGTCTAGGAGGGCAAGGACAGGCAAGGGGCTCCAGGAGGGGAAAAGGGGTTGGGACCTAGAACCTGTGGGACGCTTGCAGTCAGGAGGGCTGCAGTCCGGAGGGTTCCCCGACCGTCCCTCTGGGTCCCCACCTTGTTTTGCCGGGCTTTGTCCGTGCTGGCAAAGACCACAGCGGCCGAAGCCTCCCAGGAGTTGGTAATCCAGGCTTTGGTGCCGTTCAGGACCCAGGAGTCCCCCTCCGCCCGGGCGATGGTGGAAGCGGCTCCCGCGTCGCTGCCATTCCCTGCGCCCACACAGGCTCAGGACCAGGGCCACCCTGCACCAGGGCACCACCCCAATCACCCTCCACAGGCAGGCACAGGGACCCGGCGTGCTCACGCTCCAGCACCGCGCCCAGAGGGCTCCTGAGGGCAGCTCCAGGTCCCAGAGCTCTCCGGGACAGCCCAGGGGGCCGTGGCGGGCGGAGCTGGGCGTCCCCAGCGCTCAGCTGGAGGCCTTCCCTTCGGCCTCTTCCTGAGGGCACCCCCCGACTCCGAGGTGGGGGGACAGGGAGGTGACCCCGCCCACCGTGGTACCTGGTTCACTGAGGGCAAAGCAGCCGATTTTGTCGCCACTGGTGAAAGGAGTTATCCACTGCCGCTTCTGCTCCGTGGAGCCGAACTTCAGGATGGGCCCCAGGTAGAGAGACTGCGGGGGTACAGCGGAGCGGGCGGAGCCTGGATCCCGGGGCGCAGGCACTCTCCAGCCCGCAGGCCCCACCCCACGCCTGCTCTCCCAGAGGCCTCCCCGGCAGATCCAAGTCCAGAGATGTCTCCAGGAAGACCAGGCTGGGTGCCAGGGCCTGGCTGTCCCCCGGATGCTGGGACACAGGGCACAGGCCCTGCCGCAGGCCCGCCCTCCCGGTGTCCCGGGCCCACGGGCTCACGTTGTTGACGCTCATGACGACGCCGGCGGAGGCGCAGCCGCGGCTGATCTCCTCCATGGCGATGGCGTAGGCCAGGTAATCCAGGCCGGCCCCGCTGAGCTCCTCGGGCACGTCCATGGCCAGAAGCCCCAGCTCGCCCATCTTCTTCACCTGCCCAGGGAGGTGTCGCGGTCAGAACACGCCCTCCTGCCCCAAAGCCAGCATGACAGCACCGTCATCCCGGCCGTTCTGCCCCTTACCCCAGGCTGGCTCACTGCTGTCCACGCCCTGGACAGTGCGCAGGTGCAAGGACAGGGAGCTCCAAAGTGAAGTGCAGGCAGCACTGGGCCGTACTGACCTCCCTCCAGTTCCTTAAGCGTGTGCACGCGCACGCACACAGAGCACCCACTCCGCCACAGGGCCTTTGCACATGCTGTCCTAGATCAGAAATGCCCTTTACCTCCCTTGCCAACTCGGCTCCACCATCACTTCTCTTGGGTTGCCGCTTCTGACCTCGCTTCTGACCTCACTCGCTCAAACCCTTTAACTGAACATTTCCGTAGCACCTTGTAGCACTTAGGCAGCTGGGATTTCACATCTGTTACCTTGTTCGTTTTGATTAAGGTCCTCTCTGACCATGAGGGCTGTACACTGCTATCTCCCCAATGCCAGAGAAAGAATGAAAGGATAGGAGCTTGAGATTATTGATTTGTAACAATATGAGCTGAACGTCCCTAATCTGAAATCCAAAATGCTCCAAAATCCAAAGTATGTTAGACATTGCCACAGGTGGAAAATTCCATACCTGACCTCGTGTGATGAGTCACAGTCAAAATGCTGCAATGGAAAAATACTGCATAAATTAACTTCAGGCTACGTGTACAAGGTGGGACCAGCAGATGGCATGATGGTTATGTCGCTGGACTTCCACATGGCCTACTGCAGTTCAAGTCCTAGACCCAGAAACTTGAAACATGCCAGGCACGTGTGTGTGTGTCCAAAATCCCAAGAGGAGAATGGAGGAGAGAGGATTGCAGTATGGCCATCTCCTGCTTTCTGTCTCTCGGCAAGTGCATGCACCCTATAGCAAAAATGTCTCTCTTTAAAAAAGGTGCATGGGGGCCAGCAGATGGCATGGTGATTAAGGCACTGGACACTCCCACATGGCTGACCATGGTTTGAGTCCCGAACCTAGTGGCTTGCTTTCTCACTTTCCTATTCTCTGTGTGTCTTTCTCTGTTCAAATGAAAATAAATGAATGAGTAAATATAATTAAATAAATAATTCTTTAAATAAATAAATAAATAAATAAATAAGGTGCATGTTGGGGACCAGCAGGTGGCATGGTGGTTAAGGCACTGGACACTCCCACATGGCCAACCACAGTTCGAATCTTAGACCTGGTGGCTTGCTTTCTCACTTTCCCTCTGTGTGTGTGTGTGTGTGTGTGTGTGTGTGTGTGTGTGTGTTCAAATTAAAATGAATGAATAAATTAAATTAAAAAATAATTCTTAAAAAACAAAAGGTGTATGTAACCCAAGAATTTTTCAGGGTGAGATCTGCGTCCCATCCCCAAGATACGTCACTAAAAATATGCACAAATGTCCACTGCTGAGAGCGTGGAGAGCAGTGAGCCCTCACTGGAGTCGGACCAGAGGAGGAAACCAGGCTTTGCTCCTGGCGCTGTGGCAACATTCAATAAATATTTACCAAGTCAGTGAGGAGATACATATAAACACACATACCACAGGACTGCAGGAAATGTATGGGAAAATTGATTTTTTAAGTTTTTTCCCTTATTTATTTATTTAATTTTATTTACTCATTCTTTTATTTTTCAATTTGACCAGAGAGAAAGAAGCAGCAGGAAAGCAAGCCACCACGTTCAGGACTCAAACCATGGTCAGCCACGTGGGTGTCCAGCACCTTACCACCATGCCACCTGTTGGTCCCTTTATTGGGTTTTTGTCAGAGGGCTTGTGCACTTGCAGGAGAAAGACAGGAGTGGGTGTGTGTGTAAGAAATCACCCCACAGGGGGATGGCTACCACACAATCTCTTCTCTATTCTCCCTCCTCTCAGGATTTTGGGGCATGCACACTCGGGTGACCTTCAAGCTACCAGGTCCAGGGCTCAAACCATGGTCAGTCATGTGTGAGTCCAGAGCTTTAACCACCACACCATCTGCTGGCCTTCAGAAAGATGAAGTTTAAGGGGGCCAGCAGGTGGCATGGTGGTTAAGGGCACTGGATTCTCACATGGCCAACTGCGGTTCGAGTCCTAGACCTGGCGGCTTGCTTTCTCACTTTCCCTTTCTCTCTCTCTCTCTCTCGACTTTGTCTGGTCAAATTGGAAAATATAATAATAGCAAATGAAATTAAATAAGTAAATAAATATTTTTTAAAAAGATGAAGTATCGGGAACCAGCAGTTAGTGTAATGGCTATGTCGCTGGACTCCCACATAGTCGACGGCGGTTCGCGTGCCGGACCCGGTGCTTAAAACTCACGCCGGGTGCGTGTGCGTGTGTGCCCAAGATCCCGAGAGGAGAATGGAGGAGAAGGGATTGCGGCGTGACCATCCCCCTTGGGGGGTGATTTCTCGCTTTCTATGTCTCCCTATGCCTCCGCATCCGCCCTATAGCGAAAACTTCTAAAAAAAAAAAAAAAAAGATGAAGTATGAGTTTATTGTGGTGCAAAAAAATGTTTGAAATCCATGCATAGTTTCTCATAATATAAATTTTCTAAGGACTTTTTCGAGATCTCTCCTAGATATATTTCAAGGTTAAAGAGCCCCAAATCAGTTGGAAACATGAGCCAACTTCCTAGTTCCCGCTATAACAAAATGCCATCGTAAGTCATAGTTGCTTCTTTCATTTACTTTGCACATAAAAAGGCTTACATTTGGGCCAGCAGGTGATCTGATGATTAGGGTGCTGTACTCCCACACAGCTAACAGGTTTGAGTCCGGAACCTGGTGGCTTGCTCTCTCACTTTCCCTTTCTCTCACTCGCTCTCTCTGACTCTCTCTAGTGAGCACACACGCCCTATAATAAATGTTTTTTAAGACAGATTTTTGCTATAGGGAACATGCGCTTGCCAGTGAGACAGAGGGAAACAGAAAGCGAGAAATCACCTCCCAGGGGAATGGCCATGCTGCAATCCCTTCTCTTCCATGCTCCTCTTGGGATCTTGCACATGCATACACATGCACTTGGTGTGAGTTTTAAGTCGCCAGGTCCAGGACTCAACCCGCGGTTGACTACGTGGGAGTCCAGTGACATAACCATTACGCCAACTGCTGGTCTCACAATTTTTTTTAGAATAGTAAAAGTAATAATAAATAAAATTAAAAATGTTTTTGAGGTTTTTGCCTTAGGATACATGCACTCGCCAAGGACAAAGAGAGACAGTGAGAAATCAACCCCAGGGGGAATGGCCACACCACAATCCCTTCTCCATTCTCCTCGGGCATGCATGCGTAAGTACCCTGAAAGAATTTCAAGACACCGGGTCTGGAATTTGAACCATGGTCAGTTATATGGGAGTCCAGTGATGTAACCCCTATGCCATCTGCTGGCCCCCAAAATAAATAATTATTTTAAAAAAAAAAAAAAGAGAGAAAAAAGTTCTATTAAGGTTACAAAACCAGCCAAGTAAACAGAGACTGGCACGAGCCCTTTTCCCTAATTCTTACCCTACCTGCGTCTTAATTCTCCTCTGGGCTTTCCTCCTGCAAACTTATTTTTTTGGTGGAAAAAAAGTCTTCAGAGAAAGAAATATTAAGAAGTCACTAACTGGGGCTGGTAGGTGTGATGGTTAAGGGCATTGGACTCCCACATGGCCGACTGCAGTTCGAGTCCTGGATCTGGCAGTTTGCTTTCTCACTCTCTCTCTCTCTCTCTGTCACTCTCTGGTCAAATTAAAAATAAATCAAGTTAAATAAAATAATTCTTAAAAAAAATTAAAAAACCAAAGTCACTAAGCACCTACTACAGGCCAGTGGGTAGCTAAAAGTTCTTATCTGGGTCCGATTACCAACCCCAGGCAAGAAACTTAACCTCTGTACTCGGTTTCCTCATCTGAAAGCTGGAGATAACAAAGTACCTACTGCATGTCTTGACGATTTAATGTGGCAAATACATGTATAAGTACCTGGGATATAATAACTTCTGACTGTTGCCACTGGAGGCTACTGACATTGTTATTGCTATGATTTCAAAACACAAAATTATTCTGGATTTGGCAAGCTGCCTTACTGTCTGTGTGGCTGGTTCACTGGCCCGAACTTCTGCTTCATTCCCGGACTCCACGCTGGAACTGGGAGCTCAGCGCTGCGCCCGGTGACAGGGCTGAGAGCGAGAAGCCCAAAAGGCTTCAGTCCCAGGGAGGGAGGAAGTCCGCAACTGTCACCTCTGCGTCCCACTGGCACCAGAGGAGAGTCCAGTTCACACAGTAACAGGGAGAGTGGGAAGAACACTCGGCAGTTCCCGCCCTGGCTCTACCACGAGGCAATTCATGCACCTGCTCCTTCCTCGTTCGTACAAAAAGGGTCACAGCCAGCCTGGTGATGTGGCAGCCAGGCGCTGCCCAGGCAAGGCCGAGTGTGCAGGGAAGATCGCAGGCCTTCATGGGTCCTCCATGACCTGCGCTTGCTGGGCAACCACACCATGGACTGGGAAGGCTGGGGGATTGCAGCCTGAAACCTTGTTGAGGGTGTATATGTTTCTCTCTCTCCTGCCTCTCTCTCATGAAAGAAATCAACATACTGTTTTGTTTTGTTTTTTTTTTTGAGAGAGATTTTTGCAATAGGGTGCATGTGCTCGCCAGAGAGACAGAGACAGAGAGACAGAAAGCGAGAAATCACCCACCAGGAGGGATGGCCATGCCATAATCTTTTCTCCTCATTCTCCTCTTGGGATTTTGGGCACGCACACACATGCACCCGGCTTGAATTTTGAGCCACCAGGTCCAGCAGTAGCCACGTGGGAGTCCAGCACCTTAACCACTATGCCACCTGGTCAGAAATCAATATACTTTTAAAATGAAGAGATAACAGGGCTGGACCCATGGTGTAGTGGTTAAGAGAGGTGGATCCCACATGGCTGACTACACAGTTCAAATCCTGATCCTGGTGGCTTGAAAAAAAGCACCCTGTGTGTATGCATTGTGCCCCAAATTCCCACAGGGTATAGACATGGAGGAAGGAGAAGGGATTATAGCAAGACCACACTCCACTGGAAGGTACTTCCTCCCTCTCCCTGTCTCTGTGTCTCTCTGGCAAGTACGTGTGCCCTCTGGCAAATTAAAATAAAACAAAAAGGGCCAACCTGTGGCTTGGTGGTAAAGAAAACTGGATCCCATAGGGCCAGCCACTTGGTTCGAGTCCCAGGCCCAGGGGGATGAAAAGCACACAGCATGCACATATACATATGTGCCCCAAATCCCAACCGGACGCAGAAATGGAGGAGAAGGAATTGCAGCATGACCACACCCCACTGGAGGGTGTTTACTCCCTTTTCCTCCCTCCCTGTTTCCCTCTGGCAAGAACATATGCCTCTGATTAAGTTTTTAAAAAAAGAAAAATTGGGGAGACAAAGATTATAGATATGAAAACACCTTGTGAAAGATAAACAGAATGCAGACGCTATCACTCCTGTTCCTCTCACACGTTCAGCACATCTGTACTGTGCAGCTGCAGGTGCAGAGGGAAGGAGGCTGCTACCTCGACCTCCTCTTTCCAGCCTCATTTCTGTCACCATTCAGAAAGATTAACTTGCAACCTGCACATGCACCTGTGTGTTTTCAGGCCCACCTGGGATCTGAACCTACATGGCTTCAGACCTCACAGGGCGTCTGCATTACTGCTGTGTATGCTTTTCTTTTTAAAAAACTATTTCATTTTTATTTATTATCATTATTATTTTCAACCTGCTACAGGGTATGTGCATTCACCAGAAACAGACAGAGAGGGAGGGAGGGAAAGTGAGAAAGCAAGCCACCAGGTCCAGGACTTGAACTTCAGTTGGCCTCATGGGAGTCCAGTACCTTAACCACCACACCACCTACTGGCCCCTGTTCCTGCTTCTCCATGGCGTATTTTCTTATTCCCTTCGTCTACTCACAGAGTGCTGAAAGGTGAAAGGGCAGGGCTGGGTCATAGATAACATAGGTGTATGTGTGTAGAGGGTGGAGAAGAGGCTGAAGCTCGACAGTCGTATCGTCAGCCAGAACAGAGCTGCCTTGCCTGCTAGCTGGCTTCTGGGATAACCACATGGAGAGTGGATGAGGAAAGGCTTTGGAGCCAGCCAGACCTGGGCTCTGGATTCTAGCTCCACAGACCAGCAAAACTTGGGAAGTCCCTGAACCTCCCTATGCTCCAATTTTCTCCACTGTAATGAAATCAAACAATCCTGATATTAATAGCTACCATTTTTCCAGTACCAGGTACCATGGATTTGGCATACATGACCTCACCTAGTCCTTGCAATCAATCCAGAAAGCACAATGGCCATTAGATTAGATCAAGCAGGGATGTCTTTAGGAGTAAATGAGATGACACCTGTGAATTGTCTAAGACTGGGACCAGCAGATAGCGTAGCAGTTACGTTGCTGGACTCCCAGGTAGTCAACTGTGGCTCAAGCCCCTTAAAACTCAAGCTGGGCAGGTATACACGTGCCCAAAATCCTGAGAGGAGAATGGAGAAGGGATAACAGTGTGGCCATCCCCCCTCGGAGGTGATTTCTCCCCGTCTCTTTGTCTCTCTCTGGTGAACGCACATACCCTATAGCAAAAATCTCTCTCCACAAGAAAAAAGTCTGAGACCTAAAAGCTGCTCAGATAACCTTAATGCTAAAGTGCCACTTGCCTTCTCGGCCCTGAGCTCCTCGGATAGTCCCACGACCCAGGCACAGTGGCTGATACACTGAGCACTCCCCTGGAAATGAAAACGCCAACTTTGCACTTAGACTGAAAATCAGGCAAGAAGAAGAGGCCAAAGGTCTGCCCTTCCACACAGCACTGATTCAACAAATATCAACTGTGTGGTATTTGTGAAGAATGAATAAGAGAACCATTCTAGTATATCATTCACTAGGTCAGGGGATATAGCTCTATCTATCTATCTATTTAATTTTAAATTTGACCAGAGACAGAAAAGGACACTGAGAAAGCCAGCCACCAGCTCCGGGGCTCAGACAGAGTGATAGAAACAGAGATCGACTATGTGGGAATCCAGCTTCTCAACAACCACATCGCCTGCTGGTCCCAGCAGGTACGTCTTAAACACGTAACGACCGACTAGCCCATGCGCGGTGGTTAAGTCAAAGGGCTCCCGAGTGTCCGACCGCAGGGATGAGAGTCCCAGACCCAGTGGCTTAAAAATCACTGCACGTGCTGGGAGTGATTTCTCCCTTTCTGTCTCTCTGGCTAGTACATGCTCCCTATAGCAAAAATCTCTCAAAAAAATAATGAAAATAAAATTTTTAAAAATTCCGGGTGCATGTGTGTGCATGCCCAAGATCCCAAGAAGAGAATGGAGGAGGAGAAGGGACTGCAGTGTGGCGATCCCTCATGGGGGTGATTCTCTCTCTCTCCCCAGTGAGCGCACATGCCCTCTGGCAGTATTTATTTTTTTAAAGAATTATTCATTTAATTTTATTTATTATTATTCTTATTCAATTTGACAAGAGAAAGTGAGAAAGAGAAAATGAGCCACCAGGTCCAGGATTCAAACTTTGGTCAGCCATGTGAGAGTTCACCACCACACCACCTGATGGCCCCCCGCTCTGGCAATACTGTTAGAAAACAAAACCAAAAACATGTACTTGTTGGGACCACCAGGTGGCATGGCAGTTAAGGTGCTGGACACTCCCACATGGCCAATCATGGTTTGAGTCCCGGACCTGGTGGCTTGCTTTCTTACTTTCCCTCTCCTCTCTGTGTGTGTCTCTCTCTGGGCAAATTCAAAGAAACGAACAAGGGAACCAGCAGTTAGCGTAATGGCTATGTTGCTGGACTCCCACGTAGTCGACCGCGGTTCGCGTCTCGGACCCGGTGGCTTAAATCTCACGCCGGGCGCGTGTGCGTGCGTGCCCAAGATCCCGAGAGGAGAATGGAGGAGAAGGGATTGCGGCGTGACCATCCCCCCTGGGGGGTTATTTCTCGCTTTCTGTCTCTATGTCTCTGTCTGTCTGGCAAGCGCACGAGCCCTATAGCGAAAACCTCTCCAAAAATAAATAAATAAATAAAATAAACGAACAAATAAAGTTAAATAAATAACTTAAAAAACCATGTACTTGCAAATGGGCAGAGTATAAACAAAGAACATAGTGGCACAGGAGAACAGCATGGTCTGGCAGAGATGGTGCTGGATTCAAGCCCTTGCTCTGCTCTGCAAAAGATTAGCTCCAGGCCCTTGAGCATGCCATTTAACCCTTTCATAAGTCAGAGTTTCATAGATCGTTCAATGGAGTGTGTAGTAACAGTACCTTGATCTCATAGGACTGCTGTGAAGAATGAATAAGAGAACCATTCCAGGTGCATAGAACAGAGCCTAGCACAGGGCATGCATGAGCCAAGTGTGAACTATTATTACGCCAGCACAATGCATGGTATGTAGTAAGCGTGTACACCCTCCACATGCTGTTCTGGAAGTTAAATCCTCACTAGAAGCCTCATGCTGGACAAGAGAACCCTGTGGAGGGGCCAGAAGGTGTCTGGTGGCTAAGGTGCTAGAAATCCCATAGAGTCGACCACGGTTCAAGTCCCAGACCCGGCGGCTTGCTTTCTCTGTCTCTCTCTCTCTGGCAAAACTCATGTGAAAAGAAATAAGTCTTAAAAAAAAAAAAAAAAAGAGAGAGAGAGAAAGAATCCTGGGGAGCATTTCCTGGGGCACAGGCCCTGCCATGGTGTTCCCTGACTTGGGACTGGGTGTGCCTGGCTGTCAGTGCCACCAGTCAGCCAGGAGCTGAAGGCAGACCGCCACTGTGGGCTGCTGAGGTTGGCACTCTCACCTGAGCCGCGGGGAAGAGATGTTCCCGGTCCACCTGGGCGGCGATGGGGACCAGCTCCTTCTCGGCAAAGTCCTGGCATGTCTGACGCAACATCTGGTGTGTCTCGGGCAGTTCCACAGACTGGTAGACAGTGTGCAGCTGCCGCCAGGCCCGAGGACGGAGAGCTGCCAGCAGAGACAGGAGTCAGCGAAGGAGAATATGGGAGACCTTGAGTTGTAATAATAAGAGCAATCTATGAACTCAGTGGTTCTCCAGGGATGATTCTGGCCCCGGGGGGACATGTGGCAATGTCATTTCTAGAGGTCACAACTGGAAGGGGGAATTGCTATATCTATCGGTGGGTAGAGTCCGAGGATGCTGGTAAACACCCCACAACGCCCAGGAAGCCCCTATGAAACAGAATTATCAGCTCGGAATGTCATTAGCGGCGCTACTAAAAACCCTACACTAACTGGACTTTACCACAGTCCTCAACACTTCACACACTACCGCATTTGATCCTCCGTAAAACACCACCAGGAAGACTAAGATCTGAAGCCTTAGGCAAAGGTCTCTCTAAGGCTCAGTTTCTATAAATGCAGAGAACACCAGCACCCAGCTCCTGGGAACGAGAGGATTCAAGAAATAACACCCAGAGCACTTAGCTCAGCTCTCACCAAGGGTTCTCTTACTGTGGTCCGGGGGAGAGACCTGGACCAGGCAAGGAGCCCCTGAGCTGACCACAGCTGGAGAGAACAGTGAGACTCATGGACCCTGCCTTACGCAGTCAACAACAGGGCCAGCAGCGGCACAGCCACCACAATGCCCTCATGTTCTCTGACACTGGATCCACAAGGGAAAGTCCCAGTTGGCATCAAGGTCTCCCTTTGCAAGCCAGGCAGGCAGAGGCTGAGCGAGGATGGCTGCAGGAAGAAGAGCCCATTGGCAGTGCCTCTCTATCTCAGGTAACACAGGAACTTTAAAAAAGTTAACCTAACGTTTAGCTAACACTTAGTTAAAATCAAATCAACATTTACTGAGCACCTGCTATATGCCAGGCGATGTACTGTTTACATACGCTGTGACTATTCCTGCCAACAACTCCCGGAGGACTGTCGTACTTCTCTGTGGTCCCTAAACGCGGGGGCCAACTGCGGCCAAGCAGGGCTGGGAGGCTTGTCCAAGGTCACAGAGTCCGGGTTCAAACCCAGGCCTGACTCTTGGGGAACGGTGCATCCTGAACCTCTCCTGGGAGACACGAGCGAGAAGGGGGTGGTGGAGCCGTGAGACCTCTGCTGGCAGTGGGGGGTCAACTGGGCAATGGGGGCCAGAGCGGGAGCCACGGATTCTCGAAGGACCGGGTCTGCCAGGCGCGAGAGGCCGCAGAACTAGGGCAAAGGCCGCGCGCGCGCCCGCGCCGAGGTAGAAGCGTCCCACCCAGGCCGCGGTCCCGCCGAGCGGAGCCCGAGCGCACTCACCTCGGTGGAGGGGGCCGCAGGCCCGGGCGAGCAGCGCAGCGGCCATGGACGACGGGGACATGGACAACCTACAGGGTAAGGCGCTCCTCCTCGGCCACCTCCCGCTGCAAGCGCGGGTTCCGGCTGCGGGGGGCCGGGCGGGCGGAGCATCGGTCACGCCCCCTAGGAGGCGGGGTCGGGGCGCTGGCGCGCCGGGGGCGGGGCTTCCCTGCCCTCCAGTCCACGTGAGGTCTAAGTAGGTCCCTCTGCTGACCTTGCCCTACTGTTAAACGTCAGGACGGGACCAGCAGGTGGCGTGGTGGTGGTTAAGGCGCTTGATACTCCCACATGGTTAACCACTGTTTGAGTCTCAGCCCTGGGGGAGGGGTGTGTGTGTTCCTTCAAATTAAAAGATAATAATAGGTGAATGAATAAGTTTAAAAAATTAAAAAGGGTGGGGGGAAGTCGAGACAAAGCCAAAGGACTCTTGCAGAAAGGCCTCAGTTCTTCTTAAAGCCCCATAAATAAGGGGACGGAGGCACTGAACATTCCCACACTGCTGACCACAGTTCAAGTCCTGACTCTGGCGGCTTGCTTTCCCACTTTCCCTCTGCTCTCTCTCTGGTCAAATTAAAATGAACAAATGAATAAATAGCATAATCTCTGGTCAAATTAAAATGAACAAATAGTGTAATAAGTAATTTTTAAAATTTTTTAAAAGGATAAATTTTAAAAAAACCTCTGAGGGGGGATATCTCTCTTCAAATCCAATTCATCTGGTGAGCTCTCCAAGGCCTGGCCCTCCAGTTCCTTGGCTATCTTGGCTCCAGTCACACAAGAGTTTTTCTCCCTCATGTGGGTCTCAGTCACCCATGCTTACCTTGGCCTCTCTAGGCCGTTTCTCCCCCTCAGCTCTCCATTCATCTTTCTGAGATTTTTTAAAATAATTATTTATCATTATTATTCTTTTTAAGTTTGTTACAGGTCACATGCTCACCAGAGAGAGAGAGAAAGCAAGCTGACAGGTCCAGAACTCCAACCACAGTAGGCCATGTGGGAGTCCAGCACCTTAACCAGCATGCCACCTGCTGGCCCTATTTTTTTTTTCTTAGAGTGAAACAGATGTTTTTCTTTGACTCATCATGTCAAGATCCTCTTGCCCCAAACTCCCGGTTGACCAGGAGGAAGCACATGCCTCCACTGGGCCTGGCCTATGTAGGTGGGTCTGCCCCGCACAGCAGTGTTCTATTACTGGTGCCACCATGACTGGGCCCCATCGCTCTTTATGTAGTTATAGCACTTTGCATCTGAGATTGTCTTTTTATGATAAAGCACATGCACATGTGAGAGAGAGAGAGGAACACCCCCACGTAGGGTCTTGGTCACACTGCAATATAATGTTAAATGTTGATGAATATATTTATATCCTTGATTTATTACATGCTGTAAACATGCTTTTTTAAAACCATACTGTATCCTACAAGGATATATGATTATAGGGGCAAGCAGATGGCATGGTGGTTAAGGAAGTGAACTCCCACATGGCCAACTACAGTTCAAGTCCTGGAAATGGTGGCTTGTTTTATCATTTTCTCTCTCTCTCTCTGGTAAGTCCACATGCCCTGTAGCAAATTAAAAAATAATGATAAATAAAATAATTCTGTATCCTACAAGGATATATGATTATAGGGGCAAGCAGATGGCATGGTGGTTAAGGAAGTGAACTCCCACATGGCCAACTACAGTTCAAGTCCTGGAAATGGTGGCTTGTTTTATCATTTTCTCTCTCTCTCTCTGGTAAGTCCACATGCCCTGTAGCAAATTAAAAAATAATGATAAATAAAATAATTCTATAAAAAGAATATGTGATTATAGGTAAATCACAAATTACAATTAAAATAGATATAAAAGAAGCTTCCAAATCTGCAGCACAATACTATTCCCCCCAGTCATCCTAGAAACCAGCTACACTCACTCACTCAACTATTTTTTTAAAGATTTATTTATTTAGTTTTATTTATTCATTCATTTATTTTAATTTGACGAGAGAGAGAGAGCAAGCCACCAGATTCAGGACTTGAACCAGGGTCGGCCATATGAGAGTGCCTAGCACCTTAACTATCATGCCACTTGCTGGTTCCAGACACTCACTCAACTATTTATAGAAAAGCCATGTAGTAGCCAAGATAAGAGAAACTTGGAGTCCACGCTCCCCACACACATCTGCTCCCAGCAACACAACGGGCCCAGTTAGGAGAGGAGACACAATAAGTGTACTGTGAAAATCTTCCTTTTATTACTGTCCGTTGTGGCAAAATAACATTTTATACAAATAAGTCATCTAATTTACTTTGAACACAAAGACAATACAAACTGGGCTGAGGATCTTGGGTGAAGTGGGAAGGAGGAGAAAGGACAGATCAGGTCATTGATGTGTTTTATATTCTGTGAAAAATAGATTTACATGGAAAAAATAGACTTTCACAACTTCAATGACTTCACATGATCCTTTAACAAACAAAGAGTGAATCCACCTCCACCAGATCCTTCTGTGGCAACGATGTTCTGTGACATGGAATGTGGGTGACATAGCAGTTCCACAGGTAGGCTCCCACACTGGGTACAGCAGCACCCTCTGCAACAGGCATCCTTGTGCACAGGCAAGGAGTCCGTGCTGTCATCTGTAGGACAGACCGCCCTCATCCCCATACCTCACTGATATCACAGTGACACTGGCCACCAGAAGAAAGTGACTAAATTTACAATGAAAAGTACCCTAGGAGCCTACCAGGAATGGCAGGACACATGGAGGGAGAACTCACAAGACCTGTACATTAAACTCAGCTGATTAAATCCATTCCAGAAATAAGCTCTACTTCAACTGAATAAATATGTTGAAGATTGTCCAATCGCTGCCATTTCAAGAATTACCAGTCTACAGTTAGCTCCAAACACCCCCAGAGAACTGTCTCCATGCATTGGAAATCTGATGGCCCAAAGACTGAAGTGTCTGGGAAGCGAGCTCCTGAAATGCTTCAACTGCAAGACAGCCTTGAGCTAACACTTAGGACACAAGCACCAGCCTACTTCAGCCCCAAACTACATCACTGTATCTATGCTCAAGAACATAGAATGAATAACCCAGGATCTTCTTTGGAGAAACTAGAAGAGCATCTTAGCCCAAAGTCTGTACAGGGAAAGAGCGACCATATCCAGAGGTTCCAGAGCAGAGGGAAAGAAGCAAGTCAGAAGAGGAAGAGGTGCAAACAGCAGGCCCCATGGCACGCAGTGGGCCTGCCAGTCTCTGGAATGTGTTCCCTCTAGCTGCCTCTCAGATGCCGGCTCTTCTCAGAGGGCACACCTTCCATGCAGGTAGGTTTTTTGCCCTCCATTCTATCACCCACTAGATAATTGTTATCAAGTCAGACCTTTAATCACATGGACTCCTGATACAACTTCTGATTGGTTCAGTTACTTTCAGAGAAAGTATGACTTACAACTCTTCAATTCAGATAGAAAAGCTCGAATTTCACACTCAGCCTAGTCAACACCCCTGAGTGGTAATGCTTCTCAAGCGTTCCTGAGCAGCTGGATGCAGGAATCCACAGCCTCAAATACAGAACACCAGACTCTCAGTGGCAGAAGATGGCAAACTCCCGTCCTGCTGGACACCAGCTGAGCTCTTGGCCTCAATATGGTCTCCAGTGATGGACCAGCAGTTAGCATAATGGCTATGTTGCTGGACTCCCATGTAGTAGACCGCAGTTCGCGTCCTGGACCCGGTGGCTTAAAACTCACGCCAGGCGTGTGTGCATGCATGCCCAAGATACCAAGAAGAGAATGGAGGAGAAAAGATTGCAGCGTGGCCATCCCCCCTGGGGGGTGATTTCTCTCTGTCTGTCCGGCTAGCACATGCGCCCTACAGAAAAAAACTCTTTAAAAAAAAAAAAAAAATATATATATATATTTGTGTGTATATATATATATATATACACACACACACACATATATAAATATATATGGTCTCCAGTGAGAGAAAGGCCAGCCAGCAGGGAGAGGAGACAGCACTGCTCAAGGCAGAGGGCCTCCCTCCTCCATCCTCTGGGTCTTCCAGCAAAAGCTCTCGGTGCAGCAGGGCTAGCGCAGTGCTGTCTGATGGACTGGATATTCTCTGCCCTGGGATACATTCCAAGACATACTACTGACCAGAGCTGCAGACAGCTCTGAAAACACACTCTAGGTATTATTTAAGCATCAAAAATAGAAGCTCTCGCATCTGGGCTTCAGTCATGGCGAGAAGGGATGGTCCTGAAACTAGACAGGAACATGCAAATCCCATCAGATGAGCCACAGAGAAGAAGAGGGGCAGGAGACAGTGCTGAAGTCTGTCCACAGAGGAGGAGGGAAGGAGGGCGATGCCACTTTCCCCAGCAGCACATGGACAGAGCCACACGTAAGGCACCTGGATTTGTAGTCGACTCCAGTTCTGAATCACCCAGGCAGGGGAGGAGGAACCCACTCCACAGGACACATGGCCTTGTCCCTCCTGCAGAGGTAGGACCCAGCGTCAGCACAGGGGTCACATGATGAGAAGGCTGCCATTGTCTGGCACCAGTGAGGCTCTAGCCTGGCACAAAGCACCAGACCACTGGTCAAGGCCACTCACACGCGAGAATCCAAACTGGAACAGTACTGGGTGGCAACTGCTTCTGTGGCAGTGCTGGCTCTTCCCTCCCTGGTCCCACACAGGCACAGCCCTCCTGCCACAGGTACTGGGGTGCCTCACCATGACTCGCCACACACCTGGGTCCTTCCTACTAGCACCTTCCTATCAACGCTTAATGGAGCCTGGCCCAGTGACACTCTTCTCAGCAGGTTGCAGTCTGGGCTGAGCATCCAACGCCCCCACACAGACAACAGAGGGAGCTGAACCAGCAAGGAGTCTGTGCAAGGAGGGTCAGGACAAGAGGGGCCTGCACGATGTGTGAGGGAAGCCTTTCTGAGCACACATCAGTCTAACAGGCTATTCGAGCCACTCCCATCCTCTTCCAGCACCCAGTACAAGTCCAACTGTAGTCTCAAGGGTCAGAATATGCACTACTTAGGTCTGACCTGCCAGGAGGGCTCCAGAAACTACTTCCATAGAAAGGCAGATAGGAAAACCCTCCTAAATAAGAAATCTAAAGTTGTGGAGGCAAATCCCCATCAAAAGCCAATTCTCAAGGCTCTGCTGAGTAGAAAACATCAAATCTCTCCTCTAAAGTCGCCACCCGTTCCTTGCTGTGCTCTCCCAACGTGAGCCAGATTAGCCTGGGAGCCTTATTAATACTCTCACAAGTCTAAGCGCACATCACATATGCTGCGAACACCACTGAAACCTTAGAAAACCTTCCAAGAAGTCTGGAAATAAAAATGCAAAATTCAACATGGCCTGCTCTGGCCCCAAGAGATACTGCTGTTCCATGAGCAAGACTGACGTGACATGTCCTATTTCAGATGCTCCAAACTTAGGAGCCAGGAAAAGCAGAGAAGGCTCTCTGTCCTCCAGAACAAACACAGGAAGGCACTGCCAGGCTGAAACCTCTGTCTGTCCCCCAGAAGGGCTGGCTGAAGACCCCACAGTCAGACAGGTAAGCAGGCCTCTCCACGCAGTGGAGCTTTCCCCCACCCCCCCCCCCCCCCCCACTTTCCAGTTTCTTCCAGGTGATTTAAGACTGTGTGCCAGCTGAGAGCAGGCCGTGCTGATGGCAACACCAGAAGTGGGAGGAAGAGCCTCCTGGAGGCTTCTGGCTTCCCACAGACTCAGGAACCTTGTGGGGAGCTGCTAACCTATAAGCAGGTTTGGTCAGAGCCTTCCCGCCTGGGCCCAACTCCACCTGGAGAGATGGAGGCCTGTCAGGGCAACCACTAAATAGCTAGAATTACATGAAAACAAGTTTTCTTTCTTATCTGGGTTCTAGGAGCCTTATTCTAAATTTTTACTTTACTATAGAACCTCTGCGACCTAAAGGGCAGGTAGGAAAAAGGAAGAAGAAATACTGGGGAAGAACACAGCACTGCTTGGCACTTCCTTAGCACGCAGGAAACTGCCGTCCCAGCCTCGGCTTCCTGGGGCCAGGTTCCAGATGAGTGATGACAAACAGCAGCTTCAGTTGCCCCATGTGCCAGGGTCTGTGGCCGCAGCCAAGCGCCACCTGTCCACTTGGGCAGCAGTCACTGGCCTCCATTGTAGGCATAGTCAGCCTTGTTATGCATTATCAGCTTGTTGTCCACAAAGTAGAAGCTGTCAGAGCGGGTCTCATAAGGATTTTCAATCATCAAGCGAACTGCAAGTCAGGGGAAGGAAGAGCAGAGTTACTACATGTGAGTCTGCCTTGTGAGTCTGCCTTGCCAGCTGGGTGAGGAGAAACCTAGTATCCATTCCAAAACTGCAAGTGCCCTTAAGAGCTGGGGGTCCAGATACCCACTCCAAGCTATGGGTGCACTTGACTCTCCAACATGGAACCTCCTTGATCATCTCCATTCTGGACTCTTACAACCAGTGCTCGGGGACATGTGCTGACCCTTCTGCCAACTTGGAACACAGCAGAGTGAGGCAGGCCCTGGCTTCTGGCCTGGACCCTCCTCTGGACATTCCTGTCCAAAGTCAGAAGCTGTGCTCACTGTGCCCACTCCGACAGTACCCTGATGGCTTAAGGAATCCTGGTGGAAAGAGTACAGGTGGACCAAGGGCCAGAGGCCTTCTCCAGGGGCAACTCAGGGGCCAACACTTAAGTGACCCAGCCAGAGGTCTAAATTTAAGTCTATTGTTTGTTTGGGCAACTGTCCAGTTCTCTTCAGCCACACTAGGGAGTAATTAGCAGCCACAACCGCCAGTCGCTCTGAGTTAATGATTACAGGCCATTTGAGTACTCTGCAGGAAATGCTATTGTTCACCACAGTTCTCAAAAGGTGAAACTTGTTTTTAAAGTTTTTTAAGCCCACCCAGGGCAAAGTTATTTGGTTTATATCCAGAATATTGACCTCCAGGCTCTTTCAGCTTCTCTGGTTTCATAGGTAAACTGTGTAATGCAATACATAATCTTTCCTTGAAGTATCCAGTCAGCATAGCTTGAGAAGAGGGGTTCCAGCCAGAGCTGAACCCCGGCTCCCATCTCAGCCATCTTCAGTTAACCAGGTAAAGAGCAAAGAGTACCTGGTTTACAGAATAGGACAATCCTTTTTTTTTTTTTTTTTTTTTAAATAATTATTGGGCCAGCAAGTGACATGGTGGTTAAGGGCACTGGACTCCCACATGGCCAACAGTGGTTCTGGACCTACCAGCTTGCTTTCTCACTTCCCACTCCTCCACCCCCCTCTCTCTCACTCTGTTCTCTCTGGTCAAATTAAAATGAAATAAATGAATAAAGTTAAATAAAATAATTCTTTAAAAAAATTTTTTTAAAGAACTATTTACTGGGACCAGCAGATGATGTAATGGTTACATCGCTGGACTCCCGTGTAGTCGACCAGTTTTAGTTTTGGACCCAGCAGGCACATGTGCATGCACGGGTGCCCAAAATCCCAAGAGATTGAAGAAGGGGTTGTGGCGCGGCTATCCTCCCGGGGTGGCAGGGGGTGGTGATTTCTTTCTGTCTCTCCATCTCTCTCTGTGTCTTTGGTGAGTGTACATGCCCTATAACAAAAATCTCTCTCTCAAAAAAAAAATTATTATTATTTAACAATAAAGAAGTATATTTATACATTTTCCAACATCTAGATATTATGGTTATTAACATTCTCTGTGTGATGTCACTTTGGGTTTTTTTGGTGACCTAACACGGGAGAGTGTGTGTGTGTGTTTCATGTTCCATATATATACCGAGAAGAAAATGTATTCTTTAAATACTGGGGTACAATTCTCTCCCCATGTTGTGATGTTCAAATATTCCTGTCCTAACTCACTTTTTTTTTAAGAATTATTTAATTTTATTTATTATTATTTTAATTTACTATAGAGCACATATACTCACAAGAGAGAGAAAAAATCAGAGGGGAAATGAGAAAGCAAGTCGCCAGGTTTGGGACACGATCCATAGTCAGTTATGTGGGAGTCTAGCATCTTAACCGCCATGCCACCTTCTGCTTTTTTATTTTAATTTCTTCCATAAAAGAGAGAAAGAGACCCCAATAGGATCTTCGTGTCACGATCCTATCCCCAACTTCAGCCAGCTAAATCACAGATACAGACACGCATACCCAGCATGCACAGGGAGACCTCAGGATGCAAATCCAGGACCTTATGTGGCTCAACATTGTGGAATGCTGTCACTGCTGCACCACCATAGCTGGTATATGACAATCTTTTTTTTCTTTTTTAAGAATTATTTTAGTTTTATTTACTATTATTATTTTATTTAACCAGAGAGACAGAGAGAGAGAGAAAGAAGGAACATGAGAAAGCAGACCACCAGGTCTGGGACTTGAACCGTGGTCAGCCACATGGGAGTCCAGAACCTCAACCACCATGCCATCTGCCAGCCCCAAGAGAGATTTTTGCTATAGGGTGTGTGCACTCACTAGAGAGATAGAGAGACAGAGACAGAAAGCGAGAAATCACCCCTCATGGAGGATGGTCACGCCTCAATCCCTTCTCTTCCATTCTCCTCTCAGGACACATGCTCACTGTGAGTTTTAAGTCTCTGGGTCCAGGACTTGAACCACGTTCTACTATGTGGGAGTCCAGCATTGTAACCATTCTGCCACCTGCTGGTCCCAGAATATGACAATATTTAACAACCTGGGATTTTGAGAAAACCAGTCTACATACATGAACCCTTTCCCACACTAAGACTAAATCTCACCATTATTCACAGGGTCCCACTCACATCCTCACAAACCTTCTGAAGCAAGGTTCCCTAGATACTGGCAGAAGATGCCAACCTGAGACAGCTAGGCCAAGGTCACAGACTGGGAAGCTTGTACTTGCTCTCCAGTTCAGTCCACATCTCCTCCGGCCTAGGCTTCAAGGCAGCCTTTTCCTTCGAGTGTCTTCTTTGCTCCACCTTCACTGCAAACTACTCATCTCAAGACAGCACTTTCATCATCGTACTCCCAAACTGCCAACAGTCCTCTAGTTCCTACTGGGTCTATTCTGGCGGTTTATCTAATCAATCCTTTATTTAGGCTGCAGTATCACATCTAGCTCTGATTAACGAAAAAGTGAAGGGCCAATGGCTGGGACACAGTGGAAAACTATGACTCACAGAAGGTAGGAGAAGGCCTTATCTAATTAGAACCCCAGGGACTATCACGGGCCTCCTCTTATCTTTGTTAGTCACCCCCTTTTCCACAGCAGGCATTGAAAAAGGATGGCTCTATTATTAAAACCTCAATGCTCCCATCCAGGCAGAATCAGAGTTGGAAAAAGGAGATAGGAGCAAAAGGAAACGAGAAGCCTGAGGTCAGATGACTAAGTATGCCTCAAGTCCCTACAGCCATGTGACTAAAAGAGAGTGGTGAACTAGGGTGTTCCTCTCAGCTCTCAGAATCTCGAATGCTGTAGAGCCAGGGAATACATACTGACATCCTCAGAGAGCTGGGGAAACTCGTAGATGTGTTCACAGGTGTTCCTACTGCTGGGAATGCAGAAGCCGAAATCAAAGTCGAAGTTTTTCAGCAAGCGTTCCCGAAAGTAGTGCCGTTCAATCATCCGGAAGTTTGACACAGGTTTGTCTCCCACTGTGAACTCCACTCTGCAAAATAAATCTCTGTGAATCCTGCTTTGCTGCCTGCCTCCTCTAAAGCCAACTCAAAACCAACTGAGAACATTCTTTCTGTGGCCAAGCGGAACAACTCCCCTCGGAAGCAAAGTTACTCACGTAGCCCCGACGGTCCGGAGGCGAAGGAATGCTGGTGTGAACTGATAGCGCACAAAGCGTCCTGCACTGAGGTCCACATCTCCACCTTCCTCCTCCTGCTCTTCCTCCTGGTCTGAAAGAACACATGGACTCCTGAGTGGGCTGTCTTGACACCTCCAGTCCAAACGGCACAAGCACAACCAACAAATAGTACTGACATCAACAGTACAGCGGCCCACATACACTGCATACTTAACTATATTCTGCACAGAATCCTCACAACAACCCTGTGGGGTGTTACTGTCTCCCATTTTATGAAGCAGGAAGCTCAGGTTCAGCGAAGTTAAGTAATGTGTCTGAAATCCCCCAAATAATAAATGGAGGGAAGTGCTAACCCAAAGAATGAGACTACAGGGAACCAGCAGTTAGCGTAATGGCTATGTCACTGGACTCCCACGTAGTCGACTGCGGTGGCTTAAAACACACCGGGCGCGTGTGCGTGCGTGCCCAAGATCCCGAGAGGAGAATGGAGGAGAAGGGATTGTGGCGTGACCATCACCCCTGGGGGGTGATTTCTCGCTTTCTGTCTCAATATCTCTCTCTGTCTGGTGAGTGCACACGCCCTATAGCAAAAACCTCTTAAAAAAAAAAAAATGAGACTACAAAAGTTGAAACTAGTCAAAAAAGTTCCCTCAAAGATATAAAAACTTTTGACAGCCAGCAAAGACAAACCACTAGAAATAATTTTGTTATCTAAATGGAAGACACAGACCTAACCTTGGGATACTGTACTTCCTTGGGGGATGCTTATTCGAGGCCATACTAAGCCCAACCCTCTGAGCACCTAGGAAAGAGCAAAGCAGATGGGCAACAAACCAACATGTGGGGCCTCCATGAGGTGAATGCTATCTCTGGTCCAACCCATTCCTGAGCCCAGGAGATGAAAGATTACTAAAATCAACCAAAGAGCTATGCGAACAAGAACAAGGAGCTAGTACCCTCCAGCATAAAGGAAGGACACTGTCTCCAGGCCTAAGCTGAACATGGGTGCAACCTAGAAGTCTTTTTCAGCAAACATCTCTGCCTGTGACAAGCTAATAGCACTGGGTCACCAGATTGAGCAGGGTGGGTTCACACTCAGAGATTCTAGAGCCCTGACTCCAACAATGTGATTCAAAGAGTCAAACCAACAATTGTCAGGGATCAAATTCATGAGAACAAATGCTGTACTAAGGTACCAAATCCATGAGGATATTCTAAGTAAATAAGAACCTTAAATGTAAACTAGAAGTTGAAAATCAAGCTACTTGACAAAAGTACTACTGCAGCTGATCTTAAGACAGTTCAGTTTTGTACTGAAATGACTGTTCAAAGCCCAGTCTAATCCAAAACCAAGCCGTGGGGTCCTTGATACATCATAGGTGTCATATAGCTTAGGGATGAGACCACCACAGACTCGGAAAGCTAACCAGCCCTGACCTAACTGTCCCAATATAAGAACTCACACGCTTGAACTTTTGGGTACCTTGGTCACTACTGACTGTGACAGCATAAAAAATACTGGATTGGGGTAAAACCAGAGCTCTAGCCTTAGCTTTGTAATTAATCAGAGCTGAGAATTTCTCAGAAAAGTCTTTTGACTTCTCAGGGGTACTAATACTTGCCTTGCTCTGAGTAGCAAATCAGATGAGATAAGCTTTGCAAAATAAGTTGTTATTACAGACTACAGCCTGTATTATGGAAGGTCTCTCTGCCGGTGTTCTAACCCATTCTTAACTCCAGAGGGCGCTAAATCTCCAGGTACATGCTCCCAAGAGGCCTGTGGTCTGACAGAAATGAACTACACTGGAACTGCCTCCTCACAAGTCAGGAAGCTTCTTTCAGCCTAACTTAAAGAACCCAAGTAGATAAGTTTATGGGTTTCTTGCTCTGGAAAATAGTAAAGATTAAGATCCAACTAGAACTTACCAGAAATTCCAAGGCATCCTTTTTTTCCTTTCCTTTTTTTTTTTTTTTTTTTAAAAGATGTTTGCAATAGGGCATGTGCATTCACCAGAGAGAGAGAGAGTAAGAGGGAAAGTGAGGAATCACCCAACAGAGGGGATGCTGCAATCCTTTCTCCTCCGTTTTCCTCTTGGGATATGGTACATTCACACACATGCGCCTGGCGTGATTTTCAAGCCACCAGGTCCAGGGCTCAAACCATAGTCAACCATGTGGGAGTCCAGTGCCTTAACCACCATGCCACCTGCTGGCCCCCCAAGGCACTATTTAAAGAGAATGAGAAGACTGGGGTGAAACTGACTCAAGGGCAGGACTATAATCTTCAATATCACCCTTGCAGAGAACTCGAGGCTCAGGTGAGCTCTCCTCATTATGGTTTAATTTCAAGGATTCCTTTCCTAATCAGGCAATATGATAAGATGAAAGAGCTTGGGAACTTAGAAAGTATCACTTGGCAATTCTGGGCCTCAGTTCTTTCTCTGTAAAATGGGGATAATAACTCCCCATAGAGGTGTGAGTGTACAGAAGCTGATGTGTAGAAAGATGTGGGGCACTGTGACAAGCATGGAATAGATAGATACTTCACAAACATCAGCTTCTGAAGCTTCAAACCAGCACTCCTGGTAAGCCAGGCCGTGAGAAGAGGTCACAAGTGTGCACGATGGAGTCCAAGAAACAGGACAAAAGAGCAAACAAATATTTGCATTTCAAAGATCTTTGGTCCCACCTGATAAGTGGTGGAGACAATATGAAGCCTACCTGAAACACAAGGTTTGGCAATCTCAAAAAGCACTGTCCCTGTCTCCAAATCTCGAATTTTGAAGCGGGTGAAGTCAATACTGTAGATGTTGTCTTCTGGTTTACATAAATAATCTGAAATAAGAGAAAGAGAAAAACCAATGATTTAAATAATTCTCTAAATCTACCATTTATTTAATTCTTAAGTTTTAAAGGAAACATGGTTTTTTCCCCCCACCCAATTCACTTAAAATACTCTTGAACTTCCTCTGGTATTACCACAAGCAAAAGTTGTGTGTACAGAATTAAAGAACACAAAGAGAAAAAAAGTGTGTGAAGGGATTTGATTTTGGATAAAAGGTTATCATAGAAACTGTAAATGGGAATAGAAAAGGGGGTGTCTTTGGAAATCTTTCATGGTCTGTCATCATGGATATAACAGGGCAGAATTTTTTTAAAAATTATTAACCATTTATACTGACCTAACGGATAATACAATGCTTATTTGCTAACAATTGAGTATCAGAAAACAGGGATCAGCAAACTTCTGCAAAGGGCCAGATTATAAATAAAATTACTTAAAGTTTTATTTTATAGGCTTTGTGGCCATTGTGGGCTGCCATTGTAGCACAAAAGCATTCACAGACAATATGCAAATGAATGTCTATATTCCAATATAGCCATATTTATGGACATTGAAATATGAATTCTATATAATAATCACATTTAAAAATGTAAAAGCCTGGACCAGCAGCTGACGTGGAGGTTATAGCACTGGATCCCACATGGCCAGCTACACAGCTGAGTCCCAGACCTCTTGGCTTGAAATTCATGCCAGGTGGACGTGTACATATTCCCAAAGTCCCAAGAGGAAAAGGGAGAAGGGATTGTGGCCTGGCCAACCCCCACAGGGGTGATTTCAATCAATCTCTCTCTCTCTCTGTCAGGTAAGAGCATGCACCCTATAGTAAAAACTACAAAAAAGAGAGAGAGAGAAAGTAAAAGCCAGTCAGTCTGAGAACTGTACAAAACCACTCAGCGGGCCATACATTCACAGGCAGCAGGATTAACCTGCCACTGAGGGCGTTAGGCCTAAGGAGAGCCTACAACCACCTAAGCTGCTAATCAAAATGGTACTGAGCACAGAAAATGTCACCGACTTCTTTCTGCACTGACTCCTGACAGCATCTTCTCCACAATTCACTTTGGCAGTTTATCTTAAATCATTTGTGTAGTTGTTTTACATCTTACAAGCTTTCTCTTCAGTAAGATGGTGACCCTGAGAGCTACTGAGGATTCTGCAACTCCAAAAGGCTGGCCCTGATTCTATGCCTTTAGAGGTATTCAATAAGCAACTTGCTGAACAGAACAGAGGCGATATCAAGAAGAGTGGCGAAATCAGAGGTCATCACACTCAGGGCTTTCTCCAAGAGCTTGCACAGGGGGTTTGGGCAATGGCACCACTCCCAAGTCCCCGAATGGGACATGAAAGCTGCTTTGGGCCCGGCATTAGAAAGGCCTAACTCACCTTTCATATTAGGAGAAAGGATGAGACTACCTAGGTCAGGTGCTGAGCACTTCTGTACTTTCAGAGACCCAAATGAAAACCAGGTTGAATACAAGCAGCTTTTTCACAATGTCTCAGTATAACTGAATAGCAGACGGTCTGAAGACAATTTCAGGCACTCAAAGGACAGTCCCAACGCAAATGAAGATGGAAAACGGGAGCGTCAAAATATACCAGTATAGAAACTATTGATACTATAGGCAAC